CAGTACAACTGTTTCCCATTTTGCTAAGAGTGAAAATGGCTTGCTAATGCTACCAAATGAATTTGTGGCAGAAGCAAAATTCAAACCATAGGATTCTTCATTTGGCGACAGGTCCTTCACCACAACACTGCACTGTTTTTGCATAATTCAGTAACCCTTTTGCTGTTGCTAGCCATATATGCAGTATATTAAGGGACATGGTATGGTGTGGGAAAATAACTGGAGCATAGTCTGAGGGATTTACAACTTTGCTGGATCTTTAATTGTTCATCAAGTAGCAATCCATATTTATTTACAATATTCATATATTAATAAGAAATATTTATTTTTTATTCATGTTCTCTGTAAAAATAAATGTGTCATATATTGAAAGATCAAAGAATAAACCTCTATGAAAGCCTAAAGTATGATAGCTTTATGATAGTAAAGCCAACCTAGCCAGCCTGTTAAAATATAATTAAAAATAAGGAACAAAAAAACCCTATTAAATAATAATCCATGGAATCGTCATGATACACACACAAAGAGCAGGTGACAGTCGTGGCTAGGAGGCCCTTTGCGCAATTCCATGTTGTGCATCAGTTATACCCTTCCTGAATCGGGAGGTCCTCTGCATGGTCACTCATGCCCTGGCCACCTCCCATTTGGATTACTGCAATGCACTCTACATGGGGCTACCCTAGAGGAGTATCCAAAAGCTACAGCTGGTGTAAAATGCAGTGGCACGGACAGTTTTGAATACCCACAGGGGGGCACCTATAACACCTCTGTTACACAAGCTGCATTGGTTGCCGGTTTGCTTCCGGGTCCAATTCAAGTTCGTTATACTTGAATTCCAGTTCGTTATTACCTTTAAAGCCCTTCATGACACAGGACCAGGAGGAGGAGCTGTCTCACCCCTGTTACATCAACCCGCCCCACTCGGTCCGACAGAAGGGGCATGTTGCAGACCCTATCAAGCAAGGAACTTAGGCTGGTGGTGGAAGAGGGCCTTTTCTGCCGGCGCCCCTGCCCTGTGGAACAACTTACCACCTGAGGCGCGGTTCACCCCCCACTCTCATGGCCTTCTAGAATAGTGATGGCCTGGGGGCCTGATGGGGGCTCGCATTGTTGGAATTGGCTGGGGAGATAATCGATTCTGCTCCCCCCCCCCCATCATCTTGAATTGTATATAGTCTTTTTATATAGAATTATTTTTTAGCTAATTTAATATGGATATTTATATTTTTACTGTTTTTATGATTTTGGATTTTAACTGTGAGCCGCCCAGAGTCACCCTTTGGGGGAGATGACAGCACATAAATTTAATAAATAAATACACACACATATACACACACACAATAAATAAGCTGGTCAGTCTTCCAATAGGACTTTTTTGTAAATTAAAAAAATATATATTCAGATCTATTCTGTGAGCTTTTAACATTTCTCCAGTCCCAATGCATTAATTAACCTTTCTTTTATCAGAGATTAGATTTGAAACACTATTTCACGATCAATGTTTTTAGAAGCATCAGAACTGCACACAATGCTCTTGCCAGCCTTCTTCATTAAAATAAACAACCAAGTAATGTTAACAAAGGATTAGAAGTTTCAATAAAAATATTCACATATGCAAGTTTACCTCAGAGGAATTTAAATTTCTGACCAATTCTACCACATGGGGACAAAAATCAGTTTGGATTGTGCCATCCAATTCTATCATTTGGTGGATCACACACTTGGACACACACACCTTGAATAATAGGTGGTTAGGTACCACTGACAGATGACTTTGTAAAGGTTTTCCTGTATAAACACATTTGATGAGAAAGCAGCCAAGGTTATTGTACAAATTGCATGTCATGTACTGACAAGAATTAATGCCTGTAACATGTTTCTCTAAAACCTGTAGGTATTACTTTTACAGTTTAATTCTATACAACATGTAGTGGTATTTATTCCCTCATAAGTGAGTTGTGAATAGGAACTTCAAAGTCCTTTCTTTAGATGCATTGATTGGTTTTATTGATTGATTTTTGCTTATTTAACAGCATACCTACACTCCAGAAGAATGCAGCCTAGTGTGAATGTATTACTACTATTAGGAGGCGTGATTATACAGTGCTTAAACTAATCTTAATTGAACTTATCACATTTGGGCTTACCACATTTAATGAGGCTGCAATTTGCAATAATCTGCTCAATCTCCTTAAAGAGTTAAAAAAGAAGCATGCTTTAAAAAAGAACATGGAAGGGAAGAGAAGAGTGGTGCTTGTCACCACTGTCATCACTAGCACCCACCAAAAGGTGCCTCTGGCATGTGGGAACTGCATTCCACACCTTCCCTACTGCTGCAGTTGATATGCTGTCTGGGAGAAGAAGCAGTTTTTAGTAGCAAAAACAGCAAAAAGCTATTTATTCCTGGGAAAATATTATTTCCCTGCAACATAAGTGGTAATTTGAGTGATGTTCAAAATGTCAACTGAGTTCCGTGTAAACCAATTAGATAAACTTTGTGCATTCTTGACATAGAGAAGAAGTCATCTAAAAAGGTCCTAGGACAGTCTTATCCAATCTGGTGCTCTCTAGTTCCGCAGAACGTGCAATTCTGAAAATTCTTAGCTAATGTATCTAACAAAGGCTGAGAATTGTAAGCATTACAGGCATAATACATCCAGAGGGAACTGGCTTGGAGAAGGCTGCCCTGGAATATATTCTGAGGCAGCAAATGGTAGAGAAATAATTGATTTTGAAATTAATGTTCTAGTCCTATCTTAACTAGAAATGTGGGCTGTATTCTTTGAGATTATGTTGAGGACACTGATTCAGAAGAAGGACAAACAGGTAAACTAGATGGTTTTTGCTTTAAATCCAGTGCCTCACTTCTGTTGTCTCCCCTCCCCTCCAGATAGCAATAGTCCTCCCAACTGAAGGATAACTTATGAAATAATTGTTAAAGAAGCCCAAAATAGTGGATTGCAAACAATTTGCTTGATTTTCTTTATTTCATGACTTCATGGTAGGCAACAATTTTCTTTCCCAGGAAACACAATCATACTTCCCATCCTTGAATGAGATTTGAGAAATTCATACAAATGGTTCAGATTGTAAAGTGAATGAAATGCAGAAAAAAACAATAATTTTAATTGGTACCGGCTTCTAACATCTGTATTGGATGACAAATCCCAAGATTCTTAGCTAGAATTCCCACAGAGAATTAAGCTGGAAAAAATACTTCTAGTACAATGAAAGGATGTCAAAAGGACCTAATCTCATTTATTTACATTTGTTTTCTTTTACTCTTCCATACACAAAGATACAATATCAAAGTTTTTAAAAGTTCTGCTCATTAAACTGGAATAGCTTTGAAAGAACCTTCCAAAGACAGATGTGACATTTTGAAAACTCCTTTTTGCCTTTCATTTCCTTAAAAATTAAACAGCAGTGCTTGAGTCCAGGATCCATATATACTTCCCCCAGCTTTGTGCATCCAGTGTATTGACTTCGGGTACCATAAGCTCCTCCTAAAATGGCCTATAGGAATTACATCATCTGATGGTGGGTACCAAGTTGTGAAAGGCTGATATACATGTTTTGATATTTTTCCTGGTGTGTGAAAAATTACTTAAATTGGCACTACATGCAATGGTGCTGCTGTTGCTTTCCTATAAATTTCCCTGGCAATCTGCACCAAAGTCGATCATCCAAGATTTAGTACAAGCCATGCAAAGTGTACACAGCCAACTTCCTGCAATGAAATTGAGAAGAAAAGCATTCTATGCATCTTGAAGGCTGCAATTTCTACTTGGAGAGTGTGATGATTGGGTGGCAGTACTGCCAATCAAAGTATGGCAATGCAGGGCACCTCTCCAGTTTATATTCCACAGGAAGGAGGAAACTGAAGAGAGAGGGATTTGGGAGGTGTGGGCGGAAGGACAGGACTGAGGGAGGCTCAGAGTCCTAGCCTAGGAAAACCTCCATCTGTCAGAGAGACAAGGTTATGAATATCAGGTAGTCCTTGAGTTATGACCACTCATTCAGCGACTGTTCAAAGTTATGATGGCATTGAATGAGGGGACTTATGACCGGTCTGCAAAGTTGTAGCCATCACAGTATCCCTGCTTGGCGCCTAGCTTGCAATTAAGGTGTCACAGTGAGCCATGGTTATGTGATCACAATTTCTGATGTTCCCTGCCAGCTTCCCACAAGCAAAGTCAATGGGGAAGCCAGCAGGAAGTCAGAAGTTGCTCTCAGTCCTGCTGCTTTTTCGCCTGCCCGCACTCTGTAGTGCCTGCCCATGGCTCCCCCTGCTTCCCTTGGCACCTGCACACCTGCCCACACTTCATAGTGCCTGCCCACGGCACCCTTCCACCCCCCTGCAGCTCCTGCCCGTGGCACCCCTGCCCCCCTGTGCACACGCCTGTGCTCCATAGTGCCTGCCCACAGCACCCCCCTACAGCACCCACACATCCGCCAGCCCGCTTGCCTGGGACTCCTGCCTCTTCCTGTTTAAGGACCTGCACAGTCCTGGGGTTACAAGAGCAACTGGGACTGCGGGATTGCCATCGCTAAGCGATGCAGTCACGTGACATCGTGCTTTATGATCGTGTTGCTTAACAATGGAAATTCCAGTCCCACTTGCTGTTGTAACCAGAGGACTACCTGTAATTAGTGCCAGGGAAGACAACTATTGACAGACTATAGACATGTTGTAATATTAATTGAACCTGTTTTTAACACATTTTAAATTATTTAATAAAAGTTAACTTCCTTCTTGGTTTAAATCTTAAGAGTGACTGTGCTATCCTATATTTTCCCCATGATCCACTTAATTATGTCACCTCAGAGACATAAAGAAATAAAGGAGAATACAAGAGAATTTATAAATCAGAAAAGAGTTTGGTAGTGACAGCAAGAGAAATGAATCTATTAAAGATCTCCCAGAGTTAATGGGATTTCTCTTAATTTTGGAGAATCAAAGGATTATAAGAAAAAGACACCCACAACATGGAGGGTATGTGACAGGAAGCACAATTTATTTCTGCCTCTCCATTTATAACACCTATAACTTACAGCACAATCATTCAAAAACAGATTATACACTGGCAACTCTATAGAGATAAAAAGTCTTGAGGTAAAACAATATCCAAATCTGTAAGAGTACAAAGGTGTATAAAAGGATACTGATATAAAAGTTCATTTAAAATAGGATGTTTTAATTCACTTGTTTCATAGCACACTCAGCTGGGCACCATCCTGGGCAATCTTCTTTATTCTAAGTATTATATCATTTAGAGGAGGGGGATTAATTTGTAAAATTCCAAAGCCATTCAAAAAGTTGTATATTGATTAAAATACGAGACGGCGCAAGCATTACACTAAGGAAGAAGGGATGGAGAGGGGAAAATGCAAATATGGAAACTTAAGCACAAGTTATAGTTGCTTAAAATAGCCCTCTTGAACTGAAACAGTTGAGGGAGGGGAGGTAACAAATATTCAGTGGGAAATGTTTGGGTGTAAATATACATGGATTGTGTAGCAATTGTTTTTATGATCAAACTGGGATTGTAACTAGAAGCTATCAGTGAAAATACCACAGTTCCTGTGTTTCACTTTTCCATTATTATAGAAAAAAAACATGCCTGAACTTGGTGCTTCAATCTATGAAAGAGTCTATTTCTTATTGCTGCATGAGACCAGAAATTCATTTAGCATGATATCTTTGATGGTGCTCAAACTGATGCTGGTTCTCTAAACCTGTTGTCCTGCCTGGAACTATAATACTAAACCCACTTCGCAGTAAGTGTGAGTTAAAGAGGAGTGGCTACACTTTTAATAAAAAGGAGCTGTCACATAGGATAATCCTAATAGATTTAAGCAAATGTGCTCAGGGATAAGTTCCTATGTGGCTAAGAGTAAGTAATGCTGTACCTATATATAGCTGGCCAGGGTGAAGGGGGAGGGCTAGGTGCGGGAGCATAGCATAGACTCATTTGCCGTCCAGCAGTGGAAGCCACTAATGAGCTTCCAGCACCTCTCCAGAGCAAAGCATTATTAAATAAGCCCCCCCAAAATTGGGTTGGCAATTGATCAAGCAATGCCAGTTTCGATCCTTTGCCAAGAACACCATCTCATTTGGCTCACCTTGGAAGAGGTAAGTAGAGGTAAGACAGCAGCTGAGACCAAATGCAGTCAGCCAGAAATGAAAGGGGGGGGGGCATACATGCAACAGCAGACAGGGAAGGGGAGGGAGGGGATACGAGACATCAATCCATGCTCCAAAGCTGTTTGATATCAGGGAAGCTGGAAAAATAAAGGAGCGCATCCCACTCCAAATCCTCCCATGAAAAAGCCATTTGAGGTCCAAGAAAAGTTCTGCTGAGCCATCTTAGTTACTCAGCTAAAACTAAAAAACAAAACAAAACAGAAATTTAGGAGTAAGAACTGAGCTTTTGTCCACAAACTGATTGGTACGGTATATCTCAGCCACTATGTGGGAGTTAATCTGTAATGTACCTGGTGTGGGGAGGGGGCCGTGAGTCATGTCGGGAATTCCACTGGTGGCTTCTAGCAAAAGAGCCACCTTTGTCACTGCAGTTCTGAGCCAATAGAGAAGGCTAAAATGTATGTTTTGTAGGCATCAAGTCCCACATTCTGTTCCTGCTCTTTCTAGAAATGGCTGGGAAAGGATCTGACCAAATGAGTGGAAAGTTGTTGCCAATCAATTTTAAATGATATTAAATTAGAGCATGGTGGATACTTCTGAGAGGGTCAGCTTTCTGACCTACTGAAAGCCTGCAGGAGACCATGTAGTGACGTAGTAAATTCACAGGAGGTGTATGGCTGAAATTTTTGGACTTTGGGGAGAGAAGCGTTTGTAGATGTGGTTTAAAGTGGGAATGGAGTGGGTGGCCTCTGGGAGGCAATTTACTACCGTTCCTACTCTTAATTTCCCCCCAGACTGAAAAACATTCTGCAATTGTGCTGTCAAATTCCAGCAGCACAAACTTGGAGTGGTGGCAGGGAGATGTGAAGCGTATGATTGTCCACCTATAAAGATCACTGGTATAAGTCACTGGTAAAAGGCAACTTCCTATGTTTTAAAAGCCAGGAAAAAGTTTATAACAGAGAATACAGCCATTCTAAAGCAACTATAAATTTAAACTGAAATAATTACTACTACTCAGAATTTCCTAAACATAGGCATCCACAAGGGGACAAGGGGAAACAAAGGACCAAATGTGTGTTAGGATGTTGAGATATACCATGTCCAACATCAGGATGCAAATACAAAATGCCAGGGTTTTCATCACAGTTTGTAGCAGATGTCTATGTCCTCTACATCTGAGTACCTGAAAATAAGAACTGCAGCAGTTCTGCCAAAGAAATGTAGAAGAAAGAAGAGTAGCATCATTAACCTGTCACCTTGTTAGAGAAGACCACAGCCATAAGCATATGGATCAAGAATAGTGCCAGGAATTCGCTCATTTTGGCAGCTGCCAAGTTACCAGAATTTTCAGAGGAGCAACAACCGCTGGGAGCTCTGAGAGACAGTCTGAGAGTCAACACTGATAGCTAGAGTTTCTCAGGACAGAGATATCAAGTATGTCAACAGCCGACAAAATCTCAGCCTCAAGACCAAACAGTGCAAGGCAAAGTCCACTGAAGCGTGGGAAGGGTGGCAGAAGAAGTGCTGGAATTAAACTACAGTGAGTTAAGAATGGACTGCATTTTCGTGTTGACAAAAGCCAATCAGTTAGAATGCAATAAGGTTTCTTATTTAGTTGTGCTATCAGTGTTTTTCAAACTAGGCAACTTTAAGATGTGTGGACTTCAACTCCCAGAATTCCCCAGTTAGCATGCTGGCCATCCAAGAGTCTTCAGCCAAGCTCAGGTCTATGACCTTTGTCCAGCCCTGCCAAGCAGAGTGTCTGGGAACTACTGCTGAGTTTCTGTCAGTGAACCCATGTTACTTTATATCTCCCCTACAAGTAGTGGCTGCAAAGAACAGCTGCCACTGTTTCCATTAATTTATCTGTTTTCTCTCTCTTTGTGAAGATCTTCCTGCTCACTCTCCTCTTTTGGGACAATAAGACTGTCAGGGCTGGTCCCCTTAGAGTTGCCCAAGGCAATGAATGGACAAAGATAATTTCTGCTACTGCTTGCTTGCACATGTGTTCTTCCTCTGGTGCAGCAGGGCCCAGTGAGGTGGGTAGCAGGACCAGAAGAACCATTAGAAAACAAGGTCCTTCCTTCCAGTCTCTCCAAGTCTGCCATTGCTATTCCCTGTCATTCCTTGATTTACTTGAGGCTGATCTGTGCTGGTCTTTAGCTCAATGGAGCCCAGTCATGCCAAATGGCACTGTCAGCATTCTTATTTCCTGTGAGCTTCCAGGGGGCTCCCCTCGTTTCCAGTGTAAAACTGCTCGACTATACAAGAAGTCCAAGCACTTGGCACACAGGTGGCGTCAATCGGCGATGTCTGCTTCTAAATTTCCCTTGGCCCCAGGAGAAGAAGATGACGGGGGCTGCTGCCCCATCCCTGCCGTGGATCTCTCTGTTGGTTGGGACCAACCCGCCCCGCCCCACCCCGCCCTGGGGATCAGGTGACAGCGGAGGGTGGAATTTGACACCAGACTCGGCTAGGCGCGGAGATGGAGCCGGTCCTTTTCTCCCTCCCAGAGGCCGCCTGGACTGGAGTTCTGCCGGTCACGAGTCCGAGTCCTGCAGGCTGTGCCCCCCCCCGGCGGATTTCCTTGCTGCGCGGGTTGAGCGCGGGCCGGCGTGGATGGGAGTCCCTGGATCGGGGCCGCCCTGCCGGTTCTGCCCAGGACCTGAGCCGCTTTAACCCGAACTTTCCCCGCAGGAGGGCGCTGAGCGCGCCGGGCACCTGCTGGCCATGCTGGCGACGTGAAGGTCGGATACTTAGTGGAACGATCCTGGGAAAGCCGGGCCATGGCCCCCGGGGCCGGCTGAACGCAGGAGCTGCCGTGGAGCCGCCGTCGCCGGGAGGTAAGGGAAAGGGCCAGCCAGCGGTGAGTCCCTAGCGGGAAAATATGTTGGTGTGCGTGCCTGCCCGCCTGTCTGTTCCGGGGTCCGTCCCGAAACGAGGAGAGGCGAAATCTGTGTCCGCCTGAAAGAGGTAAGGGTCCCCACACCGGAGCCGTTCTGGCAAGGACTTCTCTCGTCGCGCTAACCTGGCCAACGGCGACCGTATCTCTCCGGTACAGGGAGCGAATTCGATGCCCTGGAAGGGCCGGTACCCGAGGACAGAGGGAGGTGCTTCACGGCCCGGATTCTCGGAGCATGGTCCCCGGAGAGCCGCGCGCAGCAGAAGGCGCCCGATCTGTCGAGACGGAGCGCACGGTGAGTGGGGCGGGCTGGAAAGTGTGAGCGCCTTCCAAACCGGCGGAAGGGAGGGGGTGTTGGGGGAGGAGAGATCGGGGCAAATGCGGGTGGCGGGCGAATGTATTTGTGTAAGCATATCTACTTTGGAAGAACTTATGGTGTAGGGAGGAGCAATGTTCCTGCCTCTCACAGATCGAGCTAACAAGCGCATTTATTCTCCAGAGACTGGCTCAGAGCCTCTGCTCACTCTCTCGGTTGCCTCGATCCCAGTCTTCTTCTTCCTCCTCCGATCTGGTCTGGCTTCCAAAAGTCCTAGTTGTCCAGGCAGGGAAGCTGGGAATCAACGGGTGGAAGGGGGGAGGTCTGGTGGGTGGCTGGAAAGAGGTGAAGCCTGCTGTGTGAAAAAGATTTCCGATCTTGTCCCTGATCCTAAAACATGGGTGGCCTTTTCCTTTCCTGATGCCCAGGAAGTTGCTCAACAGTCATCTCTATTTCTGGGGCTTCTCTTGAGGCTTTCAGCCCTGACCAGTCAGGCTGGATGGTCTTTAGTTTGTCCTTTGTGCTCTACAAAGATCCAAAGTAGAGGGTGTCCAGAAGTTCCACATATTTTATTCATGCTGGTGTTATTTAAGAACCGAGAGTGCAGTTCTTAAATACTTACTTCTTCTTAAATACTTATTTCTGAGTAAATATGCCAGCGATTGCACTGTACATTCTGCCCTCTGCCCCAATCCCCACTATCACTGAAGTAGGCTGGCCCACTTTTCTTTCCCCTCTAATGCTAATTTTGGAGTCACATCTTAGTTGATTCCTAGCAGTTGAGGGGAATGTGACATGAGGCTGCAATTCTTGATGCAGTTCCTGCCTGTTTGCTCACATGTTTGTTGCTACCATGGGGGGATTTATAAAGGGTTGGGCTGCTCCATCAACAGCTTGTCTCTAGACTGGTGTCTTTAGCGTTATGACATTGTCTTGTATTTCTGGCCACTAGAGATACGGTATATGGTGTATGCACTGATGCTTTCTAAAGGTGAGCAGGCTGTGCTGGGTCGTGGTGGAATACATTGGCCATCCACCAGATTAAAAATGCTTTGTTGCCAACATCTCTTTGTTTTGGAAAGTAAACACCAAACAACCTTCCTTCAACAATTCCTGCAACAGGCTGTCTTAGTGTGAACACTTCAGTTTGTTCTGATATTTCTAGACACCAGACAGGATAATTTTTTCTTCTGCTCTAGTACATCAAAATCCAAGTTGAAACTTGAGGCTTCGTGTTGGTAAACAGCTTTGAAGTCACTCAGAAATAGCCATTCAGACTGTTCATGAACTGCCCACTTGAAACAACGATGTTCTTTTTTATCCATTGTTTGACCTGTTTGCTGAACTGCCTGTGAAAAGAAACTGAGGTTTGGGTGCTTGCCCTGTTTGACTTTCACAAAACTCACTCTAAACATCTCTCATTTATGAATGTAGCTAAATAACCAGTTAATAACACAAATTAAAGCTATGGAACAGGAGCTATTTGACATTGACTTTGCCATGTGCTAGCATGCTAAGTGTCAACTTTTAGCGATGAACCTAAGGGGCTATTTAGGTCTTTCCAGTTCAGTTTGCAACAAACTCTTCAATGAATGGACCCAGTTATCTATACATGTTGCTTTCCCCCCACATTTCCCCAGTTCCAACTTTTTGTCAGTTCAATTCCAGATCTTGGATGCTTGCATTAATGCAGATGAATGAAATTCAGTCGTAGCAGCTTTGGCATAATAGTAGGGGAAGGCATAGCTTTCCCACCCAAAGGTCTTGGGAAAGGAAAAATGTCATTATCCAAAACATCTGAACTTGTTGCTGCAAGCTGATGACTTCTGCATCGATTTACAAGATGCGGAAGCAGATGTCAGCAATGTTTTCATTTTTGTATGGCTGGGATTGGGAACTCTACAAAACGTTATTTTATAGTATCTGAATGGCAGATAAAAGAAACCTGACTCTGGCCCTACCTGAAGGGTGAAAGAAGAGAAATAAAATGGAACGTATTTACTGGGGTTTCTTGGAAGATGTTACTTTCCTTGCATAGTCCCTGGCAGATTCCAAGAAAGGCCCAGAGAACTTAGAAAGGGTAGGAGTGCTTGTTCTGTTTCAGAAAGTGGCTTTATCTGTAGTTATCCTCAAGAAAACATGCAAACATTCCTAGCAGTGAATGTGTCTCTCCAATAGAAGAGAATATATGTAGTTTAGGGTTGAACTGTTGGGTTCTTGGTGTTTTCTGAATGAATTTGGACTCCGCAGTACCCTTTTCTGAAAAGTCAGGCCTAGGATCTCTCCCAGTCCTTGGGAAATAGTGAGAAGGAACTCTCCCTGTTTGGGCAATGAAAGCAGCGGGGGAAAAAATGGTTTTGTGTTGCCACCTTGTGGGAATCTGAGAAAAATACAACCTTCTGCAAACTCAAGATAGGATCCCAAATATCTGATCTGATATTCCCAGAAGCCTCAGCCAGAATGCCATTGGTGAGGGATCCTGGGAGTGATTGTTCAGCAACACTTGGAGGGCTGGAGGCTTCCCACCCTTGCAGTGTAGGAAAAGAAATCTTGTCTAGCTAGGGGCACATTTCTGCTTGTCAAAGGAGACTAAAACTAAACCAGGATGTGACTCCAAGGTTTATCATTTCTTTGTTGGTTCCGGCTACTACCCAAGACTCTTTGTGAATTCTCCATCTAGTTCTCCAAGGAGTTGCTTTTTGTAATTGCAGGTCAGAAGGTGGTGTGAGGGCAGGAGGATTCTAGATAAGTTCCTAGTGTGTCATTCAACATGGTAGTGCCAATAGCGTGATACATTTTTCCTAGGCAGCTGGAAAGGGTCTGATAGAAATAGTGCAAACATAAAAGAATAAGACAGTCCCCTACTTATGAATGTCCTGAGAGGGTGTTCATAAGTCCATTTTGTTTGTAAGTCCAACAAGCAAAAAAAAAAAAAAGCTCAGTTCACACCTTACATAAGCGGCAGTGTTGACATAGGTGCTTGCAGTGATGGCGTAGGCGCATGCAAAGATGATGTAGGTGCTTGTGGAGTTGGCAGAGGCACTTGTGGAGATGGCAAAGACTCGTCCTCTGTAGTTGGAACAGCACTTTTTTCCACCTTCTTGAAGAAGCGGTCCAGTGAACTTTAGGTGGTGGTCTTCTCATAAATGACACTATAACACTGGATTGCATCATGGACAGCTGCAGACACCTTGGTGAAGCACTCCACATTAGGGTCCTGCATCTCAAACAGTGATAGCGCTTTCTCAATTAAGCTGAACCCCTCTGCCATCAGCTTGGTCGGGAACCGATTTGGTGGTTCAATCTCTTCCCCTTCCTCTTGTTTTCGGTGCTCCTCCAACTCCATGAGGTCTTCATTGGAGAGGTCCTCTGTGCAGCTAGCAGCTCATGAAAGTCCCCCTCTTCCAGGTCGAGCTGAAGCTCCTTGCTGAGGGCAACAGTTGGTGGTAACAGCCTGCGACTCCCTTTCTGCCACCTCAAGCCCACGAGAGTCTTGAAACGAACTGAAGGCACAGACGTTTCCATACCCTGTTCATGTTCGCATGGGTAACCTCACACCAGGCTGCATCAATGTTCTTGATGGCCTTGTAGGTGTCATAGGACTTCCAAAACTGGCACAAGGTCATCTGTGAGTCTGCTTTGGTTGTCTGCACTGCCTGCCTAAATGTGCCCCAAAGATAGTATTTTTTAAGGTTGCTATCACTCCCTGGTCCATCAGCTGCAGGAGGGAGGTGGTGTTAGGAGACAGATACACAACTTTCATGTTTGGATGGAAATCATCCAGATAAGGTGGATGACTCCAGTCATTATCCAATATCAGCAGAAGCTTGAACTCAATGTTTTTCACGTGGCTGTACCTCTCCACTTCTGGGATGAAATGGTGGAAAAAGCAGTCCTCAAAGATGAGAAGGGTGACCCAAGCTTTCTTGTTAGCCTTCCATGCAACAGGAAGTGAGCTTTTTGAGATGTTATTGAGAGCTTGTGGGTTCTTAGAGTGGTAGACTAGCAGTGGTTTGAGGCTCAGGTCACCAGAAGCATTGCCACCTAGCAGCACAGTTAGCCTATCCTTCGCAGCTTTGAAGCCTGGCATGGTCTTCTCCTCCTTGCTGATGTACGTTCTGTCCAGCATTTTCTTCCAATAAAGCCCTGTTTCATCCACATTGAATATTTGCTGAGGCAAATAACCATCTTCCTTGATGATCTCCTTGAGGGTTTCCAGGAATTCCTTGGCTGCAGCCTTGTCTGCACTTGCTGCCTTGCCACTGACTTTCATGTTATGAAGGTTCATATGAGCCTTAAAGTGGTAGAATCACTCATGGCTTGCAGCGAACCCCTGTTCAGCAGCACCTTCACCTGCCTTCTGGAATAAGCTCTTAAACTTCTCCTGGATCAGCGTTAGGCTAAGCAGCACACGCTGCTGATGCTGGTCTTTGATCCACATGCCAAGCTGTGTGTCCATCTCTTCCATCACTTTTCCCCTCCACTTGCTTATTATCGTGGATTGTATAGGCACTGAATTTTTCACATGTTCTGTGATGTTGTCTTTGTTCTTAATGATTGTTCCAATAGTGGAACGATTCATCCCGTAGGAACATGTGTTTGCCATCTTCTCCCCCCCCCATTTTCTTCAATATCTCCATCTTCATGAGCATCATAGTGGATTCATCCCGCTACCCCCCTCCCCTGCAGGACTCTTGCGCTTAATTGCA